CGCTGGATTAATGGTTGGACTTGATGATCTTAAAGGTCCTTTTCAAGCTTAGTGATTCTGTGTTACTCCCTAATTCACCCATTCCAACCAGTCTGCTGCTCCAGTTGCGTAACAGCAGCATTAGAACCACAGTGCCTTAAAAGAAGTAATCGGAAGCATTCTGCAGATATTTAACAACTCTGCTCCAAGACAGTCTCCTTCCTTCCGCTGAATCCCACCTCAGGTGGTGATCCTGCTTTCTTTTCCCACAAGTAATACACACAAAGGCAGCACACAAAGCTGCGGGGTATCCACAACGCATCATTTCATTAAGCCAACAAGTTGCCTCTAAGGAAACCTATCGGCTCAAGCTCAGCACTTGACCCTATGGTTTCTAGAGCAGCTGACTGGGGTCCAGCTTAGTCCAACAGCAACCAGCTTCCCTATGCCACACCCGCAGACTGAAGCTCAATGTCATTCCCAGTCTCTCCGGATCTCTTCTGCAAACCCTCTTCCCACCACATACATTACCAAACCCTTCGGGGCTCCTGGTTTGTCTACCAAACTGGGAGCAGCAGCTTTCTACTAACCATTTCTTACACTTCTGCTGTATTCTTACTTTTTACATTTTATCCTTTCTCACATTCCTGTCATGCCCAGCCAGGGCCAAAAGCTGCGATGCTACTGTATTTTATAGCATGCAAATATATATACACACACTGACCACGATAAAAACAGTTTACATTTTTATCATGTAAAATGTAATTATTACTAGTTCTATTAATAGAATAATTATTATTCTATTGTAATAAACACAAAAATACCTCATGTAACCAGATCAGTTCATTTTAGAACCCAAACATCTAGAAATTGTAGTAATTCGGTATTCAAATGAGATGAGATCAATGTGCCAACCGCACGATGCAGAGAGGTTATTCCACAGTCTCCAGCACACAGTACAACGTCTGTAACAAACCAATGCTTCTAAACACAAGGTGAAGTCAGGCAATCTCTTCCACTCTCCAAAAGAAGCCCTTGCTTCTGTATTTTTGCATGCCCAGATACATTACAAAATGTAGAGCACAGCCTTTTAAAAGTTATCTTTCAAACAGGAACCAAGTCACACCCAGATATTTGGACACCAAGAGCATTTGCTCTGTGGACAACCAAGAACATTTGTTTCATGTAGGTGGTTTATTGTAAGAATTTACAGATTTCTGGGGCTTTACCACGTCTTCACAAAAGAACAGAGCAGTCTTGTTAACACAGACACAGGCAGGTTAAACCATATGCTCAGAAGAGTTCTTCTTCACCTGTAAGGAAAATTGAAGCACATTAAAACCCTTTTAATTGTTTTTTTTTTTAATTTCAAACCTCTGTCTCCTTCAGTTCAAATACTTCAACTCACTAATATTCCTTACCCGCCCCCAACTCTATCAAGTCTATTTCTACTTGAAGTTTCAATTTTGAATATGCTTATTTTGCTACAGAAACCTATTTAGGTACAACATCTTACATACAGACATTTTTAAGTCATTGCATAAGGTCAGGGCACTATGAAAAAATTAAAACAGTAATTTTAAATGAATCCAATAATCCAGGGGAAAAAAACCCCAAACTCAGAAAATTGTATCAAATGTGGATGTATGCTACCATGGACATATTTTGCTTAGTATTATTGATGCTTGAGAACTTTTTGTTCAGACAGATTCAAATTAGCAACGGACACTTTCCCAGCTCTTTGGGAAGAGAAGTTTGTCTGACCAACAACACTGAATTCTGACTTCCTCACTTGACTTCAAGACTGTCTGCATTAATTCATTTAAAAAAAACCCAACAATCTGGTTTCTATTTTGTAACTTTACCTCTTTGATTTGGCTGAAAATTAATCCCTGGTTATGGTATTACGAGAAAAAACAGAACAAGCAGGTTAGGAAGCAACTCATGCAAATTCAGGCAACACTATGCATGTATGTATGACCACAAATGTATTGTGAGGAGCACAATACAGTACGTACCTGCTCTATGGTATGTATTCCAGCCATTTTGTAAACACACAGGATATTAACACATGTATTTGCATATGAATATAGCACCAATTTTTAGCTGTTAGATGTAACACACATTAGCTACACACAGTTACAAATTGTGGTCTAAGTCCACACATTTGTAAGCTGCAGCACACACCTTCACAAAACTTCTTTCTCAGGGAAATAAGCAATATACTGAACTTGAAGTAAAGTACACATTCAGTATCAACACTCTGGAAATTCCCTCTTTCCTCCATCCCCACATCTCGGCTTTTGACCACCATCACAGGCTGATTCATCCCAAAGCATTTCAGTCACCTGAGTTGCTCTCCCCAACCCAACACTACCAGGCTGTTTGAGCAGAATAGGAGAAATCCACTCAAAGCCAAAAAGGAGGCAAAATGCTGCCTATTCAGGCAAGGATGTGTGTTGAGGCTAGAGATCTATTTTACCAGCTTTTTAACTTTATCTGGCCAAAAGACTGTCCAATTTCACACTTGTTAGTAGAACCGTGCAAGCTGAAACCATGAACTGTCTTCCCTCCAGCTCTGGGACTTACATGCCCTTACCTTCCCCCTCAACCTGACTGGAGCAGGACGTGCAAACATTACACCACTTTGCAACAACTCCTGTTTCACATTTATACAGGTACTCACAGAGCAGCAGCACCGGAGATGATCTCAATAAGCTCCTTGGTAATGACAGCTTGACGGGTACGGTTGAATGTCAAGGTCAATTTGTCAATCATCTCAGCTAGAAAAAAATTATGGTTGTAATTTAAACATGTAATAACTATTCAAATAGCTGTATGAACACAATACCAAATACTCTTTTAAATCCATGCAAACCATCAAGAGGCTTACTGCACTTTTCTGTTTTTCCCCCTACAGGTAACACTACTAGTAGACAAGCTAGAAACTTGATAATTTGGCTTGAAGCATCAGGCAAACCTCTGAAGAACAGCTGACAGACTAGTAAATACCATGGTATGACATCACTTATTTTAAGGTAACACAAGCATGCAGTATTTTGCTTTTAACTTACATTTCACTGCCAATAACTACATCAGTATTTCCTTCAAGTTACTGTTGTTCTGGCAAAGGGAGCCAGATTTTTTTCTTTTTTTTTTTTTTCTTCTCCAAGGTTGTGGTTTTTTTTTTTTTTTTTTTAAATGGAGAAGGTATCATCTCTTTCTCTCAAGATAAGGCGGTCAGCAGAGAGCCACACCTGCAGTTCCACGTAGCTCAACTGCACATCACATCAGCTTCACTCGCTTACCAGTATCCTTTATGCAACACTACCTTCACAGGACTGAAGTCTTATCACCATGTCACTTTAAAAGATATTTGCTGTCTCCCACTAATACCAAGTGCATACTCTCTGCACTGCACTCAGTTTGGACACCTGTATATTCTCAACTTGCTGCATGACAGGTGGTAAAATTTTTAATTGGTGTTTCAGTTTCCTCACCTTTAAATTGGGGCAGTACTAATTACATTTGGCTTAAAGGTTAGGTACAGGTTTATAAAAATTTTGGAAATCCTCACAACAGCCACATAAGAGCGTAAAGAATTTTTGGCCATTACAAGATTAGTTTAGTATTTCATATTCTTATTAAAGAATATGTTATTTCACTTCAGTTACCTCATCTTGTTTCTCATATACCTGACAGCAATCCCTCCTACTAGGGACTAAATAAAGGTCACATGTTCAGAAAAGAATCCCAGCTGAACTGGCTCAAAAAAAAAAATCCCAGACTAAAATTGGAACTCAGAGAGAAACTAGCTCATTTCTTATCATTTTGGAAGCAAAGAATTACACAAAGGGAGGTCAGTACTTTCATGCTCAACTACTGAAGTCCTGGGAAACCCACAGAGTAGACTTACAAGCATTTTTGCTAGCGTTGTCCATAGCGGTCATCCTAGCACTCTGCTCGCTGGTGGTGGATTCTTTCAGGGAGTAGTACAAAATATTTGCTAGTGTAAATTCCTGGTAGTTTCTCAGCACATCAGCATCAATATCATCATAGATACTTAGGCTTTCTGTAAAATATGAAAGAGCGGACTTAGAGACATCCAAGACATACTATTTCTAGCAAAACAAGATAATGTCATGTGAAAGGCTACTAGGCTAGCCTGTTTCTCTACTTAAGGCAATGCAGCGGCATTTTCTCTACATACAACGCATACTTTCATAATAAAATTTTAAACAGCAAAGAGGTTATGTATTTTATGTGTTTTAATTCAATTTAATACTAGGAAAGTCAGATTCTGACCAAGGTCAAATACATTATTGGTGCATTATGTTTAATCTTCCCATACAATGCTGCAGAAACATTCTGGGGTATTTTTACTGAGTAATGCAAAATTACTCAGTGCCCAGGCTGCTCAGTGCTGAAATAATTAGAACTGACAGAGTTTGGCATATGTAGTTCTTCCCTGAGAGAGAATCTCAAATCAAAATTAGTACAACTGTTCTTTTTAACCTCCTTGCCCCACAGCACCTTGATAGATGAGCTTTGCACTGCCAAGATAAAACAATCTGTTAAACGTATGATACATGCACCATAATAAGATATTTTAATACCACATTCTCATATGCAGAATACTTTTTCTGTGATTTCTCACTTCACGTAACTGGTGGTTTCTAGTTCAGTACTTACCAGAACCAGCAACTGTTTCAAGGGAGAAGATTGGTTTTTCATCAGTCTTGTAAGAGATGACAGACCTGTATAAAAAGAGCGTAACAGGGTTAGTTGAACTGAAGAGCCAGTTTTGAGTGTTTAAAATCAAATTAACATAGACAACTTCTGGCCTCCCAATTCCACAAAGTTTTCCGATAAGCCTGATGAAGAGATCTCAGCTAACACATGGATATAATGATGTACTGACCAAATACAACAGCACCTGCCGTGCAAGTAAAAAGAGAATTGCAACCACAGCTATTAAAAAATAGCGGTTCTTCACACACACTAAAATGCACTCACCCCTCAAGAAACAGAAGTAAATGTGACAATTCACAGTCAGTTTTCATATTACTTCATCGGGCCAATGGGCTTTTTGAAGCCTTCTACCCACTGTTTTTCTAGTATAGTTTCAGTTTAATCTTACCTGAACCGATTGTAGATGACAGAGCCTTCATCAAATTCATACCCAGAGTTTAACAACTCCAAGGCAATGACTGAAGCATCTCCAAAGCTCGGAGGTCTCCGTCCCACTTCTTTGAATGTCAGCAGG